CTGATTGGCTGCTTCAACAAGATAGGAATCTTTATTGAAAGGCGAGACCAAAAAACGAGAGAGAGGATGTCACAAATCTTACTCAATACCCCCTCGCTCGAATTCTGACTGAGTTTAGACTCATTTCAGTAAAAAAAATTCCGAGGGATTTTGGTTACGCGAGTGGTCTCCAAAAAAGCACGATGAGCGCTCTTGTACTTTGGAAACGGCGTGGTTTTGTTTCCGACAGTAGCTAGATACGTACTTTGAAGGTCAGCTTAATAGATTACAGAAGTTCGCAAACAGTTGGCGAATAGGTGGAGGAACAGCGCCTGATTTCGGCAGCGGCAAGCCTCATAATGCACGTAGATTTGTCTCCCTATGATTAGGGCAAACCCTAATTTCTGGTAACTGAAGATATCAAGTAATGGTTGTCATATCCAGCTTAGTCCAATTTTTCCTAAGTCGTATTCTGAAGCCATTTTATTTGCCAGAATTTTAGCTATCCCGTTGGTAACTTTGTCCCTATACGTAACGCTAACCAACCCAAAAATGAGCGGTGTAAAATGTGAGTGAACCAAACCTCCAAGTTGCAGACTTTGGTGTTAACAAATACTGGACAGCATGTAAACCGACGTATGCGTTAAGTACAAGAATTTCTGAAAGGTACTGAGAACACAGTAGAGGTGGGCCGAGTAATAAAAATCTATGCTTTTCTGTTTTCCGTTTGTGCAGTCCATGTAATAAACACTCCATAACGGTATATAGCTCAGTAGAACATTCCAGGTGAGTAACTAAGTTCAGTCGAACCATCAGCATTTGACGGTGTTCATTAGAACCCTAAACAATTTTCCGTGAAGGAACAGTTTTGCTGACAGTTGTTTAAACACACTCGAGGTCTATATGGGTGCAGAATTCATATCTTAATGGCTGATGGAGGCTTCACCTGATGTCTCCATGAAAACGATGAAAAATTTTGCAGAAATGCCTATTTCTTTACGTGTTTTCTTCTCTATTGCATTTTAAAATAAGCGTACAACAGCATTGGCAATAATTATACAATTTTTGTCCACGCAAACTCAAAATGGATTCAACATTCTCCAAAACATTTGTCGTTGTGGCAGGTGCCTTGCCAAACAAAGCCAGGAGATATTTCAGAGCTAGTAATTTTTTTGTTTCTTTATGATGGTCAGCGCACTACATCAGCTGCAGGGTAAAGGTTTATCTTCACCTGAATACTGACTCCTTGAGAGTGGCCCTGGGAGACTAATTAAGTTTATGGGCGGAACAAGCAGACGGTACGACTGGGTGCCCACGGCTTTGAAGTTTTGTCATAAAATCAACGGATTGAGGTGGCCTTGTGGGCGCATGTAACACATCTAACGGAAAACATTAGGGATATGTTAAACCACGGGCAAGATATCACACTGAGTCGCCGTATCGTCATCACAACGTCGTCTTGGGTTTCTGAACACCTCCGTGCGTGAACACATTGGGGTTAGTCGGGTTAGTCATGATAGGTGAGATTGGCCAGAAAATTGTAGCAACGAAGACCGATATAGATCAGTGATATTCTTGGGTCAACAGAGAGTACACGGTGGTGTATGCTGTCATTCAAACAAGGCAATAAAGAAGCCCTGTCTAGACTCGTGGCGTAAAGTAGGAAAAAGTGACATAATGTCTGCTACAGAGCACTATGGCATGAGTTATGTGGCCGGAAATAGCAGGTAACCA